ACATCAACTTTATTCATTTGATGTACATTTGTATTATGTTTCATTTTATTTACAACTACATTTCCTATCAAACTATAAGTATTTGGTAATTCAATATTAGAAATAGATTTATCAGTCCAATTTATTCTAGTTTGTTTTGATTTAAAAGCAAATGATGGAAGGTCATCATAATTAATAAGATATTTTAATGACATATTTTTTCTTTCTTTCATCAAATGATAACAATACCATGCTACTTTATGATTAACACTTCTTATTTGACAACTAATACAATATTGAATCTCATCACATAATACTTTATTATTTAATAAATTATATTGTGATTTTAAGATTTTCTTTGAAAATTCAGTCAATAATTTAAAATGAAGATCATTTTTATCTATAATTTCATCAGGAAGATCAATCCCAATTATATTATTAAACATTGTATTTCCAATTGCATAAATATTGTCTGTTAATAAATATAAAGGAAGATTACTATGATTAATTATTTTTTTTTAAATAACCAAAGAATCCTTCTACTCTATTTGTTGTAAAATCTCGATACATTCAATATTTGATACATTCAGAAGTGTTGAATTAAATCAATTAAACACATCAATCCTTTATTAATATTTATTCCTTTTAATTCTTCTATTAATTGTTTAATATTATCTTGTAATGTATTAGTACCATCTATTGATTTTATAATATCACTTGTATCAGGTTCAAACAACTGATCATCATCATTTTCTTCTTCATTATTTTCTTTATCATCATAACAAGTATTTTCATCATCATCATTATCTTCTTTAATATTTTTAATATTTTTCATTATAATACTTTTCCATGTTTCAATTAAATCATTTTCATTTAATTTCATATTCATTGTTAAATGAAATAATTTCATTATTATATGATCACTCTTAAAATATTTTATCAATGATCTTTCTATATGATTTCTACACAAAAATAGTTTAGAATAATGAAATATTTGTTTCAAATCATTATATTGAGCAATACAACTATCACAAACAATGATTTCATGTCCATAATTTAAAATATTATAAAGTTGATGAAAAAATAGTTTATATGAAATTTCAGATTGATCAAATAAATATCGAAATGAAAGAAGTTGGTTAAAAGAATTATCATCTTTTACAATAACAACATATAAATTTTTATTATATATATTTGTTTTAGCAGTATCATCAACATACCATTTTCTTTTACTATATTCCATTTGATTCACTTTGTTATGAATGAATAATATCGAATGAATATAACCATTAGTGAAAGTATTTGTTAATTTAATAAATGAATCATTTTCAAAAAATGAATCTGAAAGAAATATATTTTCAAATATTTGATTTCTATCTTCTTCTCTCTGAATTTGTCTAAATTTTCTAAGGTGAATTTGAATATGAGGATGATTTACAAGAAATTTTATTATTTCATTATTAGTTTTTTGAATTAAATGTTTCTCAGATTTTAACAAAGTACAAATTTTTGATACAACAAAGAAATAATCTAATGGATGTTTATGTTCATTAATTTCTAATACTCTATTTACTTTATCAAACCCTAATATTACAATTAATTTATATTCACAATCTCTTCATTTACATGTTTCTTTTGTTTTTCCTGAATGATTACAATAGAATACAATTTTTATATTATTTTTATTTATTTTTGTAGATTTTGTATGAATAAGAAGAAATAAAATTATTGTTAATTTCCTAATAGTAGTAATAACATCATTTTTAATGTTTGAATCATGAATTTTAATATCAATGTGAATATAGTTCTTAAATATTCAA